GAATTTTCCTAAGAAGCCAGGGATCTCATCCGCTATTCTTGCCTTTATTGACTCCTTCAAAATTGCTGACGACCTCACCCTTCAGGAGCTCAAATCTTTTCGTAAGCATATCAAGAAATCTGCTCGTGAACATAAAAAGGAATTCATTAATTCACACACCCAGGCACGGCTCGCCCAATCCCAAATCACGGTAAGCTGACTTCTAAGAGTCAATGCGCGCGCACACATTGCTGAATTTGTGGAAAATCTCGTTGAAAGAATTTGGAAAGCTCCTGTGGACGCTACCCCGGTACAGGTTGACCCTTCTCCTACCATTCAATGCTCCGTTCCATTTAGCGTGGCAAAATTACATATCGTTTTCCGCTCTATAAGCAAAGGAAAGGCCCAAGGCACAGATTCCATAGTCTTTGATATCGTCAAAGATCCTCCTTAGTCTTTTCTCCTTGACCAGCACAACCACTGTCTCTCCACACCTACGGTCCGAGATTCTTGGGCTCTCTCGGAAGTTATTTTGTTATTAAAATTTCAGAATGATTCCAGAGATCTTGCCAATTCTCGTCCTATTTCACTGACCAATACGAGTTTAAGATTTTCGCCTCTTTAATTCAAAAGCATCTGTCATGCCATTTCGATTTGCGCGTTCGTTCCACTCAATCTGGCTTTTGCCCCTCTCAGTCTATCCACATTATGAGGTTATGAACGACAGCAACATTCTCTTCAACAACTTTTCGTGATTGGTCTAAAGATGTCGAGTCATTTTTCTTTGACGATATTCATTCCTTTTTACAGGAGTCCTCACGCATTATCGATTCAATTACGTCGCTGTATCAGTCCCCGACATTTCATGTTGAGGATTCAGGCTCTACATGTCGTGTGTTTCAACAAACAAGAGTGCTTCGACAAGGATGCCCACTTTCTTCATATCTGCTCAATTTCGTCGGTACCCATCTTTTCTCAGATGTTGAAGCAGCTTACATTTCCCAAGCTGGAATGCTTTCCGAATTTATTGCTAAAACTTTCCCCTTTTAGGATTTACAGTAAGCCGACGACACCGCCGACGACACCATCCTCATCTCTAACTCGGCCCAGCAATGTGCCAGGCTCGTTCGTCTCATCCACAAAGAGGCGCACATACATGGTCCCAGCTTAAATTTTGACCAGTACTCCCGCCTTATGTAGACTCACCTATAAGGAAGACATTTTTTGATCCCCTTCACTTTTTTCTCCATATGACTGCATTGAACGATGGACCTGTATACGGTAAGTTTCCACGAGGGCGGAAGAGCGGAGTGAGCAAGTAATGGGCGAAGGAGCTTTGATGCGTTGACAGCTTGAGAAACTCTGCAAGGAAAATTCCTTTTTTTGTTATTGGAAATAGAATCCAAGGAAATCCAAATAGATACCCCAACATGAAACCTCGTGTGAGATCGGAAGCACTAACAATCTATCCTCATGTATCTCTCGAACCGTGTCCAATTATCTCCCTGTCAGCTTACCAAACTAAACTCAACTCATTTTATAAAAGGGTTCTCAACCCTACCGGTGCGGATTGCTTCAATCAATATTTTGCTGGTCCAGCATACGAAAGCAGATGGGTCATTACCCCTCACAAATTTATTCACAAAATGGACTGACACACTTAGGCCACCTGCTTAGACACCCCAATTCTCTAGAAACCAGTCTACACTCATGTCATTAGGTCAAGATCGGTTTACCCGAGGCCCGAACAGGACGGGCAGACCAAGATTACACCGGGCGGAGTCATGCATGACAGAGGCCTTTGCCAGAATAGCGCACCTTTCTTCAGATCGCCCACCCTCCCATTATGAAATTGATTTCTTTTCTTCAACTCCCTAATAGTACCCATACTAGACAGTCCCATTTTCAATGGACAAGAATTATTCATAAACCCCGATGTAGGACCTAAGTAGATGGTTGCCGGTGCTGACGGCTTTTGACCAAAGCTTGCGAAGTTCAGAAAACTAAAGATAGTCATAGTAGTATTAATCATAATAGTATTAACAGTGCCCTTGTGATGCAACATGGTCCAAAAATTGCCCATGCAATGTATCATCAGTCAAAAGTGTCCTTGTCTTTATAAATTTCACTTTTTGCAGCTGGAATTCAGGCCCAGGCCATGAATTTGAGACACCTGCCATGAAGTTCCGATTTACAATGAAAGATGTCCCAAAGATTCTGGCAGATATTCGACGAAGTATGTCGCTGTTTCGTTCAGATTCCGTTCCGTCGAGCACGTGGCCCGGGTTGTGCCCGTAGATCATGCACATGGAATTCGGAAACATTGTTTGTGAGTGCATCCACGCGCACCATGAAGGCCGATGCTTATTGTTGGACAAAGTTGTGGGAATACATTCTAAAACGGCGCTTCATGCATGGCTCTCGTCATTGAAAGGTCGGGACAGCCAATGCAAATTCTGTAGGCATCATTCGCTTTTTCTTTGGCATTCGATGACATGACTGCTTTGCCAAGTAAGTCTGAGGCAGATTCCGAATTTTTATCATGTTGACATTGAGTTGTTGGGATGATGAGACGCACCGCATCACACATGGAGGATGGGCAACTGTTGACCCTTGAAACCCGAGAGTCTATATTGCTGGAATGCCTTTTGCACTGTATGCCAACATATTTTTTGAGCTTTATGGAGATATACACCAAAACCGGCAGCATTTTACCAGAGCAGCAAGCCAACGAATGTTGACTTGTGTACGCATGGTTGTGTTCGTCAGATTTTGTCGCTTCATACGACTCATGAGGTTTGGCCCCTTAGCTGATGAGTGTGATTGCCATGATTCTGCAAGGAGATTCATGCATGAGATAGCTTCAAAGAGCAAATTTTGCGATTTTGTCGCAGCAAGTTGTACTCAGTTCATGGCACGGTGACTTCAGCCTGTTTGAGAAGCAAAGGAACAGTACAGTTGCAAGTGGAGATTGAGAAGCACTGCTGCCAAAATCATGTTCCTTGCCATGGTGCTGAAGATCCGATGATGGTACCAGAATGCGTGTTGCGCACAAAGCGCAGGTATCCAAGAAGAAGGGTTTCTTAAAGAAGAAACGACCCAAAACAATTCACAACCAAGTTGATGTTGAACTCGCGCTTGAAGCAGAAGTTTCGCAAGTCTCGTTTGCAGCGCAGCGCCGCACCGCTGTAGCAGTTGTATTAGCATCGGCTCTGTTTACATTGGTGTCGATTTATGTCGTGCAATTGTGGCCTTCATCTCCTTCAGACAGCTTGGGTCTCGTTTTGTCCGGAGCGCCCCAACCTGAAAGTTTCACTTCTGACAATGGCCTACCTGCCCAACATGAACTCGCAGGCAGGGCTCAGGAGGTGGAAGTCGGATCAATCAGTGGTGGTGCTTCTGCCACTGAGGATTTGCTGAACGTATTAGATGCCCATCAGCGAGCACCAATGACTGCCATTCCGCAGAGCATCAACCATGTCAGGCAAGAACCACTTGACAATCCAATTTCAATAACGGCATCCTCAAGACTGCCTCCCATGGCATCCCGTCAGCCTGGAAATTTCAAGCATCCGCGCATACTTTGGATACATTTGCACGGTTATGGAGGGACGACTATCTGCGACATGGCACGATCGCAAGGAGAGAAGGTGGCACGAGCCCAGGACAACTGCAATATCATGCCTGATCTTTGTTCAACGCCAAAAGTCTTCCGTACGCCATGCAAGAAGAGAGCTTCCAGCTTACAGTATACGTTTACAGCGATTGAGCGTGCCGTAGATGATGATGACCTGGCTTGTGTTGGCCATGCTGCTAGTAACACAGGCCCAGTCATGCTTTTTGGGGTCATGCTGCGTGATCCACTTGCCGGCATCAAGTCAACTTGGATAGGTAATGAGCTGGAAAAAGACCTCATTCTTACAGCCATCAGAACGCAGACGCGACCGAAAAACTTCCAATATCATTTTTGCTTGCCTCCATTTGATACTTTCCAGCATTTCGACAACTTTGCGGTCCGCACCCTCAGTGGAGACTATGACGTGGCTCCTGGTACGGTCTCAAGATGGCATTTGACAAGGGCCAAGGAGGTGCTTTCCAAAATAGATGTCGTCTTGATCTTGGAGCAGCTTACCGACCATCTGCCCCAACTTCATGCTGTTTTTGGCTGGGGCCTTGGGATGGAGAATCCTGGGCGCTCCCACAGACATCGCATTCCCAAGAATGCCATGAGTCCTGATGAAGAGAGGTATCTGCGGCAGATCAACGCTTTGGATTATGAGCTCTATGAGTTTGGCAAAGACTTAGCTCTTCAGCGCACGGCACAGGCCAGGCTCCGCTCTGTTTCAATTTGAAGCTGATGTTTCAAAGGTGCTTTTCCAGGCGATGGCTTAAGAGCACTTGCCCCGCCTCCATGATTCCGTTGGGTCTCTTAGGCTGGTATATGGTAAATTGGGATGGGCCAGATCATGGAGGCCGTGCACGGCTTTTCCCGCAGCAAGTACAATAGCTTTCTTGCATCGACTTTGTAAACTGCAGGTTTCTGGACTTGTGATTGAATTCATGCTGGGGACCGTGAACGGTCCGTCTCGTCCTAAACTAGTTGGGATAGAAGATTTCCCGAAGCTGTCACCATTGCTGCCCAGTCTTATGCTTGTGGCTGCCCCTTGCAAGCTTGGCGAGTTGTCGTGCGCGCGCACCTGACAGATTCTAAATGGAGCCCAAAAGCTGCTTCATTCAGCCAGACGAATCGCGAGAATGTGCTGGCAGCAATGCAATCCACTCCAGAGAGATTTGCTTTTGCACGCAAATGTTGTTTCTCACTCCAAGCTCGATGTTGTTTTTCTGCAGGCTTAACGTTGCTCAAATCCGCAGGCATGGTTAAGCGTTTTGAAATATTGGTCGGCTGAATCAGTGGGGTTGCGTCAGACCAACTAGTGAGAACTGCATATTCTGTCAAGCACGTAAAAGCTGTCAAGTCTTTGGCTGCTTTCGGCCATTTTCTCGTCTTAGATTCCTGGGCCATGCCGGGCGTTTTGTCCCCTCTCCACAGGCATGGTATTCTGCAAATCGGCACGCAAACAGTCTCTACAGCATTTGCAGACAGCGAGCTTCCTAAAGTGCCAAAGGGTGTACGGCAGGAGTTCGCCGACATCTCTGCAATGGGCACGAACTTCCCTGGAGGGGATGTGATGCACCAGAGCTTATGGCGAAAGAATGGCGCGGACTTCAACCTATGGCCAAAAGAGGAACGTTTCTACAAGGGCCCGCGGCTTGGCGAATATGCGCGGCCTCTGGTAATGAACCGAAATGTACTGGGCTACATGAATCAGGCTCCAGTTCCTCTCAACGCGGCAGAAGACGAGCTGACGCTCGTAGCACATGCCAGCAGCGCGGCAAGGCGTGCCAGGGCACATGCTGAGTATGCTCAGCAGGCTTCAGAGAAAGCAGAGGCTTTTTACAAGGCTGCCAAAGCACGAGCCCGGGCTTTATTCTATCCAGACCCGCCCATCAGCGTGAAGCCAACGGCTGACGTGTATCCCATGTACTCAGCTGGACCAACATCCATTTCTGCTGCTGTTGCAGTGCTGTGGGCCAGCCAGCCCCATACCATGGCAGTCGTCAAAGGTTCGAGGTCTGAGAGAAGCCGTCAATTCCTTGGTGTTTCCCTTACAGCAAATGGCTAGGTCCAAACGCAGACCTATGTGGTCTTGTAAAGAGTCCGCCTTTGCAGAGATTGAGAGTGGCAAGCTGCAGCCGCTAGTAAACCAAGCTGTGACGGCATTACCATGTTGGGTATATTGGCTAGTCCACTCGCATCGAAGCATTTGGGAATACTTGGGTGGTTTAGCAATCACAGTTCAAAGTGAGACCTAAGAGTTTCGGAGGTTTTTCGAGAAGTGCTTCTTGTGCAAGGGTGACGCTGTCCAGGCCTCTTACTCCAGGCGGTGCTTCCGTGATGGTAGCAAGTGGCTGATCAAGTCCCACACATCCATGGAGCAATTCTGGCTTTGGGATCGCCTCTCCTGTGACTTACTTTCTGTCTACCTCTCAGCTTTCATGATTTTGCATGTTGCGTATTTTGTGTAGCCTGATTTGTGCAGACCCTCCTCCTGCAGACTGAGAATTCAGCCCAAAATTCCATGAACCATAAGTGGTATTCCCTAAGCTGCATTAGTCAATCTGAAGTTCTGAAGGAGGTAACCCACTTTTGTACCGGGTGTTTTTTCTGTTGTGGATAGCGGACAGAGGTCATTGGAGGAGCCCAGCCCATAACAATGCTGTCTAGGTAATTTGCAAAAAATGCAGCTCTAGAGCTTCAGTTGGCCTGGAAACTGAGCCCATTGGCCGTCGGTTTTTTTGATGTTATAGTGATGGTGATTTCTGTTGTATTTGTTGTCCATCCCAAGCTCTCCCACGAACCAAGAGCAACAGTAGGTTAGGTACAGTGAGAAAGCCCTCCTTCAACATACAATTCTGTTAGATCATGCAAGCACAGGTTCTGTATTATGTATGTGAGTACAGTATAATACAACAGATACACGATAGCGCCAAACTTGCATCACTTGATGACCGTCACACACAGAACCCCTGTTGCGCGAGAGTAGCAGGTGCTTGCACTCGCCGTGTGCCTGCAAGATTTCCATGTTCATGATGGGGTGGTAGCCAGAGCAGAAAGAGAGGAGGCAGACCTCCGATACTGCATCAGGTGGGACGATGGTCGTGCTTGTTTGGTTTCTTGCCCGGACCTGTCGTGCAAGGGGTGCCTGGCTTCAGGTTGTGTTGCGTTCCTGTTTCTGCAGGTGACTTGAGGCTGACGTGCGATGGGTTCTGCTGCCAGCCTCTCAGCGAAGTGCGCCCGAGCTCAGCAATCGCAACGTCTGAAGCCACAAACCTGTGACATTTCGCTTCGTGGCATGCGATGAATAGACTCATTGTTGCTGGTACCTGGCAGCTTTTCCAAGCCTTATGTAGAGATCTTTCATCAACGGTCACTGCAAGCGAATTGAGATGTAAGTGCTCAGAAGAACAATAGCTGTTTTAAGATATTCGCTGGTGGTAATCATGGGAACAAATTGCGTGGACAATCTAGTGGATGTGAAAACAGGCAGTGTCAGGCTGCAACACTTTGCGGCGGCAACACGGCGTGTTGCCCAAAGCCTTCAGGAACTCGGACCTAAGACAATCCCTACATAATCCGTTTAGAACGCTAGTGTCCTTTTCATTGTGCATTTGATGTTCCCCTTTATTCATTTTTTTTGGGGGGGGCAAAAGATCCCTAAACCCTAAACCCTAAATAGCAGTTTTCATTTCCTTTCCCACGACGCCTACATATATGTATATGTATATATGTATATATGTATATATGTATATATGTATATATGTATATATGTATATATGTGTATATGAATATGTGAATATTCCCAGTATAGTAGAACATGCAGGTACCTGCCTGCTCGACAGCGGCAGACAGGGGACTCGAAGGCGGGCTTGAGCGCATGCGATTTCAGAACGTCCTTGAGAGTATTTGTTGTGGTTGAGGAAGAAGCCCTGCATCAATCAAGGGTCGGATTTAGGGTATTCAGGCCTTTCTAGATATTTTCATCAACTCTGTCTCATCAGATTGCTTTTGTATGTTCTGAGTAGGCTGGAGTACGCACTGTTGAAGCAATGCCAGGCGAGCAATGCACCCGTGGAAGCCGAGGTGGGGCTTCCAGGAGCTACAGATGCAGCCATACTAAACTTAAGTGGGGACATTGGGATTGTACAATTAACTTTGTTGGCGACGCGGAGTGTTCTTATTGCATTCTTGTCCAGCGATCCAGTACAAGGTAAAGCTCAACATGTTGTATCTGGGGAGAGTCACAGCAAGCTGCATGGGGTATCAAGAAGCACGTGCAGTAATCCATGTGAGCTACGGACTAAATTTAGGTTGGGGGCGACCTATGGGGCACTATATGGGGTTTTGGGGGAACCTATTAAGGGATACACTACGAATTTAGCCCTGGGCTCATGTCTAAGTTTGACTGGGTCTTCTACCTAACCTCTTGAAATCGGCCGTGCTCACTGGACAAGGGGCCATTAAGGTGGCGCTCGCAACCATCGGGACCTTGTCGGATGCGCTTCGTTTCTGCTTGTCTGTTGTTGGACTACGTGATTCTCCCACCCCACTCTTGGGACAGAAGAATGGTCATCCTGGTGACATGAAGCAAAAGTGCCTGCTAATTGCGTTGAAAGGCTGAAGAGCAACCTGCGGCTGTATCTGCGGCTGCTCCGGGCCAGGCGAGGGTAAGGACCCAGGGAGCCCCATTTCCCCTAAACTAAGGAACGTAATCTACCTGAAATCACGTGAAAGCTCATGACTATTCTTCACCCGATGTGGTGTTGAACTGTCTGGGGATTCAAAATCAAGCCCGCGTAATTGTGCTTGTACAGTTCCTGTGATGTATTCCGCTCTGCAAGGCAGAAGCCAAGAAGTGGACACGAACCGAGGCCCTGCCCCTTGCATTTTTAGCACGACCTGGCTGCCATACAATTTTCTGAGTTCAGTTTTGGGGCTGGTGGCCTTGAATTCGGGCGTGCATGCTCAGAAGGACGTGTTGTGCTGGTTACTGACACATACTGCACGAACCCTGAGGAAGACCAGTGAATCGTTTCGGGATCGGATGATTGAGATCCACCCTTCTCCACAGTTCAGATCTCTTGTCCACGATGACTGTGCTCCAGATGGGACAGCTGACCGTCCAGCAGCTGGTGCGCTGGTTGGAGGCCATCCCCTCTTGAGCCTCGCTAATTTCGAGGTACTTTGATGGTGTTCAGCAGGAGGTTGCCGACTCCTTGGGGACAACTCAGCCGACATTATACAGTGTGCCAAAACAGCGATGTGCAATTCTGCACTCATAAGACACCCCAACAAGGTCCTAGATGCGAGTTGAAGGTCTCAGGACATGTTCACGGCTGAAGGTACAAGTGTGTTTTGAAATGGATGTTTTCAGATCTGGGACTTGATCTTTTCCATTCTTTCGGCTATCAAGTGCAGAAACTCAGACAGCATCCTGGAAGCTCTCTTGATCAAGAAGATCTTTTGAAATGATTTCACCAAGTGCATCAGGTGCAGGCTTCGCTGCGGTTTTCAGTTATGCTATTATTATTGTTACTGCTGTCTTTAGTGTTGGCCAGATCCCACTGTTGTTCTGGACTCTTGGGCTTCCAGGTCTGTGCTTTTATGAGGCCCTGCAAGACAAAAAAGGATGCGCATGGCGTTCCCTTTTCCATTATCTCAATATAACCGCAATGTACTTGGAACCATGGACTGAGAGCATGCTACATTGCCTCCAAATCAGTTGGCAGAAGCCTCGGGGTCTTCAGGTAATTTGGGGTTTGCTTGGGTTAGGGGTCCTTTTTGGGGGTCTCCACACTATGCATTATAGTATATTTGGGTTGAAATTGGGGCCCCCAGATTTTGGGAAACTACCAAATAGTAGTCAATTCCCGTATGCATGGCTGCAACTTCACAGGCTGGCTGTCCGTCGTCAATTTTAGAGCCGGCTAGTGGGGCTGCCAACGTGCAGGAAGTACCTTAAGCAAACCTTCTACATTCTGTACTCACAGTGGAACCACACAGTGAGTGTAGAGGACCTTGAGGCTCAGGTGCATACGGCTGCCCAAAACCAAATAGTAGTTTCCATTTTCTTTACCATTACCCCTATATGGCCCTAATATAACCCCTATATATCCCCTATATCGCCATTATAGCAGTTTACATTATCTTTTCCATTACCCCTATATGGCCCCAATATAACTCCTATATGTCCCCTGTATAGCCCATTATAGTAGTTTCTATTTTCTTTTCCATTTCCCCTATATACAAGAGCCCATGGGCTTATTTTGGGGTACATTACAGGGGTTATATTAGGCTTATATCGGGATAATGGAAAATAAAATGGAAACTACTATTTAGGGCTTCGGGAAGTTCAGGTGTTTAGGCTACCATACTCCTCACAAGGGCCTCGATGTGGACCTCTCGCCCGCCATCCCTCCGATACGCGCGCGGCAAAGACTTTGGGAGGCAAGCGCTGCACATGTGCCTGGGTTGCGACCTGTAATGTGCCCCAATATAACCCCATGGGCTCTTGTATATCGGGGTAATGGAAAATAAAATGGAAACTACTATAATGGGCTATATAGGGGACATATAGGGGTTACATTGCATATTGTAATGTCGGTATTCTGCAAAAGGTGGGGGCGTGGAAACTGCCAGGTCCTCGTCATGCGATCCTTTTGTGATGTGAACACAAAAGCGCAGGAGATTGAGCAGTCCAGACCTGCTGCGCTGGAGCAGGCCAGTCGGTTAACTGCAGAGAGTTGCCAAGTAACGGCAAAAGCTGACAGGCTTAAGCTCATGACTCTAGCACACATGCGCTCAACGGTCGCACTCAGCTTCGGCAAGCCAAAGTGCCAGCTTCGGCAAGCCAAAGTGCAAGCTGCAGGTCACTGATCCGTTGCACCTGGAACACTGGCCTCTTTCAGCAATCTGGCTTGAATAAAAAGCGCGTTTCATGAGTGGCACAACCTGGTAACCAAAAGACATGCCGTGACTTATCATTAGAGCAAGCTGGACTGGCTTCCTTCCACAGACCTCATGCTTAGCGGTCAGTGTGAACTGTTATTGACAAGCCAGTACACGGAGTAGTCGAAGCGCCCAGCACTTGCCTGTGGAAACCTCAAGACCGCGCAGAAGGCCCAGATAACCTCGTTGCCTAAGAGCAGGACGCTGGGAGCTTCAGTCGAGTACGTCACAAATCTCGCAGTCCCTGCAAGAAGGACTTCAACCTGTAGATGTAAGAATCATGGAGAAATTTCAGCCCAGGCGACGCTCCGCTGGCTGGAGTACTTCAACGCCTTGGACGAGTCTGTGGCAAAGAAGGACACGTGACTTGCAGCTCCGGCAGTTCCTGGTTCCCTAACAAGGATTATGGTATTTTCGGATCTATACTGGGGTTCCACTTATTTTGGGAAGCTACCAAACTAACAACCGCGCAAGGTTAGCTAAAAGCTAGAGCGGGACGTGCCATGGCGCCAGGGCTCCACGGCCAAGGTGCGATGGTGGCATGGCATTTGAGCGGGGACTGGGTGGCTGTGGCTATTGGTCACAAGCGGAGGAGAGTTGCAACTGATAGAGCATAACCAGAGGCGCCACACACGAGCGAACGGTGGCATGGCCTTAGGAAACCAAAGCCCCTTATCACAACCAGGCATTAAGCCCTGATATGGAAAGGTTTCAGAAACTGACTAGGAACCTATCGGGAATGACATTTATTCTCAATCTTATTGGGTAGGGTGTAGGGTGACAAGAAGTGGTCTGTTTGATGCCTTCCGGCTGACCATATACTGACCCTAAAGCTTGGTTGTAGCTGGAAACTGTGTGGTGAGTCGTGGACGGGTTGGAGGGGTGTGGCGGTTCAAGAGGATCTCTAGATGCCGCGAGATGTACCGGTCTGGAACAGCTGCCTGGAATTCTGCTCATAGCAGATAAACGGATGATATGTTGACTTAAAACGCTGGAGGTTCGTGTTGTGCACATGCTGCTTTTTTTTGTTCTCTCAATTTTCTTTTGCACAATCACCAGCTCGGAAAAGCAGGATGTTGTGTCGTACATTGAATAACCATTGACATGCGCGGTGCGCAAGGACAAGCTTATAGCTATGCTCCTGGAGAACGGTGAGGACAGTTTCTGAGACCGAGGGTAGCAATGAAATCATGCATGATATCAGAGTTGTTGTTGCCTGGCGCATTTCACACAACGCGACCCCGAAGATAGTAGCAGCGTATCTTCGCCATTTGGGCAGGGGGCCTGAAAGCCAAGGGACCTCAGTGATTCGAGACTTTGGGATGGCTGCGTAGGGGATATATATATATATACATATATATGTGTATATGTGTGATATAGGGGTTATAGGGATAATGGAAAAATGAAAACTACTATTTAGGGTCTAGTGTTTAGGGTATGTGCATCACCAAACTTGCAAGGTGTCCGTCCAGTGGAATAAGCTTTACACAGGCAGCGGCAACGTTTTCTTGTTGCTTCAAGGCCTCCGGAACGCTTAGATACCAACAGGGATGCAGCGACTAGATCAAGCAGAATCAGGAAGCATGCTGTTCGCACCTTCTGAGCAAGGTACATGGAATTTCAGCTGCCCAGACTCCCCAGACAGTTGTCGAGTTGTGCTTTCCGAAGATGTTTTCTCCTGCCAGGATATCATTACCCCAAGGTGCAAAGCGACACATAAATTAGCTGAGTCCTGGCTCTCACGTCCAGACAGTCCAAACACAATCGAGGCTCTGCGGACACTAGAGAAAGCGGATCCAACACCCACGACTGGCAACGGGGAAGAAGGGATCAAAACTTTGCGGTCGGAGGCAAGTATTATGTGTCAGAGTGAACATTGTGCTATTGCAGAGCATGCCAAAGTCCTTCGGTATGAATGCAGAATACAGTCGAGTCAATCGTCACCATTTCTCTAGGGTCTACACGCATTGCCATTCATCTTAGGCTCGACTACATTGTGGTAAAGCAGGTAGAATCGGCTGGTAGGTAAGGCTAAGTTGACTGACTTGGCAGGATCTGTCTCCGCCCGACTTTGGTGCAAGTGAGGAGGAAAACTTCCTCACTGAGGCGGGGCTAGCAAGGCAGCTGGAGAGGCTACCTTTAGTACTAGTCGCCAGTAGCAAGAGGCTCGTAGCAGTGCACTTTCACAAGCAGCAGCTGACAACTGCAAAACAGGAAATCATCAATACATCACATAGGAAGATGCTTGCAGCCCTTTCTTACCTGCGCTTGGAACCTGTTGAACGGTTGAATTTGTTCAACTGGTTTTTGCCTTTCTCCATTCTGAAGTGTCGCGGCTGTCAGGGTAGTCAGTTCCCTCGCTTGCGTGAGCAAGTCCTGGTAAAAGGTGTTGACTTGATCAACATGTCGGTGCTGGCAGGTCTCGCGTCATGTCGGCATGGTGAAGCAGGCTTTCCGGAGTGGCGCAAAACTCGTAATCAGATGACCGCATCCTTTGCAGAGTGGTGTATGATTGTTTCCGCTCTGACGCAACTTCTTGACAGTAGGACTTCAGAAGTGCATGAGAAGGTGTTCGGACAACGTGTTCAAGCCCGCTGCCCCTTAGTCACTAGCGCCATGGCTTGCAACTCTTTCATCTCTGTCCTTCCAGTCTTTATGGAAGCGTGTGCGTCGATGGGCTTCGGGTGTTGGCTTGCAACGTGGAGATCTTCCGCCAAAGCCTAAGCCCCTAACCCCCATGCACCCGTGCCCACCAAGCCCCAGACCGCCTGAGCCAAATCAAACATCCCCAAGACTAAACACCTTAGCCCTGAACACTACCCCTTCAAAATCTAAGTCAAAGCCATAGGCAGGCCTTGACACGGAAGGCCTAACATCCGTTAGTTCCGGATTCTAGACCTTCAAATCCCATGGACCACGAACCCCCAAGCATACACTCGAACCGAGAAACCTGGAGAATTTGAACCCTGAACCCTACTACCCTGATCACAAAGAGGCCATTCAGCAAGAGTGATCCTACCCTGAATCCTAAGGCCACACATGTGTCTAAAATGCTGAAACGCGCACCTCGAAATTCTAATCGGCACACTCGATTCGCTAGGTGAAGTAAGAAGTCGCAGGCGATCACCTCCTCTAGGGTTTATAGGGTTCTTGCACGAACTGCATAGGGATTATTTGGGGTCTATGGGGTACCTATAATCATTATTATCATATTATTATTGCCATTATTACTATTACTATTATTATGACGCCTGGTACTACTATTAGTATTGTTATTAGTATTTTTTTTATTGCGAGTCAGATACTTGGTCCCTGCTCCCGCTCATGCTTTCACAGGCGGCCTGGAGCATCATCACCAATCTCTCCGATCAGCTTTCACAGGCTCGTGGGTTTAAGTCCCCCTTAAGTAGATAAAATATAGGGTTTAGGGTTTAGGGTTTGGGGTGAGGGTTATAGTCCCCCTTAAGTAGATAGAATATGGGATTTAGGATTTAGGGCTCAGGGTTATAGGGTTTAGGGGTATAGCTTCCCTTAAGCAAATAGAATATGGGGCATATGGGGATCAGGGTGCGGGGTGGAAGTCTACCGCTGCGTTTTGGGCTATTTTAAACTTCCTATGTCCATGCAAGCATGTTTTGAACTGGAAAATAGCAGCAAGTCTCAACACACGTGGGGTTGTTTCATGCGCGTCACAAATCCATAAATGCTTGAAATGCATCATATGCTCAGCAGTGCTTGGCATATATCCCTCACTATCATTCCATTAATATCATTAATATCCTTCTTATACTTACTACTCCTGCTGGTATCATTATTGCTATGAGTGCTACTATACCATGATGACCGCCATTACCGTTGTCTTTACACTATCAATATTTCTCTTATCATTGTTCTTCTTTGCACCTTCATCGCTGTACTGCCAGAATCATTAGTGAGTATTAACATAATTTTGTTATTAGTACCAGTGATGGGATGCCTTTCTTTTGACTGACAGGACTTACGACTACTGTCAGAGCAAACTTATCGTGGCTGTGCATATTCATTAAGGAAAAAGCACATCTCATTTTGAATGTTTCCTAGAATTGCTACATGTATTACAAATGTAAAATGAACAATAATTCTGAAATCTTGGGCTCCTGTTCTCCTCAATTTGCGATGTATGAAATCTTGACAAAATATGCGGCAAATCTGAATATGAGTTCTCATGTTTAAACTTCGCAACGCATTCAGTACGGGATTTTTATGGTGAATAACAGGGGCCTTACATCTCAGAATTATTCTTTTAGATTTGACAAGCATGTTTTCAGGTATTTACTCAAAGTCAATGTAGTGAGGCTTGTTGTGAATGGGAAAAAGAAACTTAGGACCTGCGACCTGCCTTCAATAAGAGACGATCTCAGCAAGGGATTCTTGTAAGAAAATATGATGAACCCATAATCAGATAATTCTCCTGCAAACTCATAACCAAGTTAGTAATGGTTTTAATCCGGGAAACGAAAATGCAGGGCCAAAGGTTTGAGACTTAGTCTTTAAGATTGAGACACATTCAGTATATGTCAAAAGCCTTTGAAATAGTATAAATAGGGTCATAAGTATTATTCATACGGATGAAAAAAATGATTGTAATTATTGAGAAGATTCGCTTCTCACATAAGACATTTTAGATCATGTGGATATTGGGATTAAGCAAAGGAACATACCAAATGTGAAATGCCGAAATACAATTCACCCACGTTGTAGTTCATGAGATTCCATAGGAGTAGTGTTTTCATAAAGTAATGAATTCAATTGTTATATGTTATATAATGCTCAAAACAAGCAACAGCCTTCCCCATTAGGCCACCAATGGAACCAGATCTCTGTTCCTACGAACGGAATCGGATTCTTTCTTCTCCGCAATGAAGATACATGAGAGATACCATTGACTTGAGAGAAGTGGAAGCTCCAGTTCCTCTCAGGTGTTTCTTTTGACCCAATAGAAAATCAATAGAATCAACTGGAACTCGAGTTCAGTCCTCATGGAGAGGGTTTCGTTCAATGAAGACACATATTTTGCCATGTTCTTCTTTTGCATAATGCGCTATGTATTTTGTACTTAGAGTTCACGTCTCAACAGTAGGGGGCTTCAGGCTTAGGGCTCAAGATTCAGGATCCCTAGGCCAAGTACTCGAATCAAGAAACCAAAGCCGAACTAAACGAAACGCCCAAAACAAATAAAACACAACTCGAACAAAAAACCAACAACAAACAAAAAAACCACACACACCAAAAACAGCAAGTCCAGAAAAAAAACAACGGGAAAAAATGCACAACCAATAGAACACAATTTCGGAAGTCTTGGAGTGGAGCCTTGACCACGGGATTTCTGGAAGACTTGAGCGTGCACGCAATAAATGCCAAAACGAATGGTTACATGAAAGATTTTCCAAACCACTACAAAAACCAAGTTCCAGAACAACAAAAAAAACAATCACCAAAAAACCAAAAAACAAACAACACAAACAAAAAACACAAAAAAAAACACCAAAAAACTCAAAACACCAAAGCAACCAATTTTCCGGAAGTCTTGGGGCGGAGCCTTGACCCCTGGATTTCTGGGAGACTTCCCGATTTTTTTTTTTTGGTTTTGTTTGTTTTTTTTTTGGGGGGG